GAAAGGCCACCGACCACATACCGGACTTCTTCTTCCGGATCGCAGAAGAAAAACACGATCTTGGTGTAGCCTCATCACCGCGCGACAGTGAGGGAACAACGTCGGCAGGCAACAACAATAAATAGAGCTTTGTTGACGACTGTCCGAGTTACTTGACAAACAACAAGAGGACACATGATATTGATGGAAAACGTCTTCAATAAAAAAGGTTGTATTAAAAGACTTATGCAGCTCGTTAAATATTTAGGTGACCTATGTTCAGATGTTGTGTGAGTTATTAGCTCGTTCATTCACTTGACTGTACTGGAACCGCTATCTATAGAGTTGATTGACATTCTATGTGAATTTGGTGATGGCTGGTAGTTTTTGGGCTCAGTGGCCGAGGTAACTAAGCTTCGTATTCTTCCGGGTTCAGAAAACTGGTACCAGCCTTGTCTAGGAAGAGCTCCTTCCTTCACAAAGACTGACGACTGTGTGAGGACGTTCGGAAACGCTAGATAGAGCTATGCAGCATTGCTGGCCGAATTAACTTTATCAAAATTCAGCGACATTATGAGAAAGATAAAACTCTCAGACAGAAGCATAGCCGCAAATTCGAAGACTTCCAAAATATGAAAGATGACGAAAGGAATGAATAAGATCCTTGATCCACCCAAAATGTGAAGACAGATCATATTTATGTAAATAAATAAGCAAAAAAGTTCTCCACAGTTTTCGCCGCAAATAGTCACGGTAGTAATTCCCACGACCGACTTTCTATTAACCTCGGCATTGATCAAATAGTTCTCGATATTCTGGTTGAGCAAACACGAGGTGTTACTTTATTCTTGACGTTTCGGTGCATTTCGTCTTCTTCAGAGCTTTTTCGAGAAGCTGTTGATCGTGTGATTGCGATTTAGATTTTCATCTTTCTGTATGTGTTATCGGACCGTTTAACTTAGTCACGGTAGTTTTGGAGCGGAATGAAGGAGCTTTTCTACCTTGCGATTACATTCTTCCGCGAGAACATGATTCCTGCAATTACACGACCGACTGATGAGGCATGATGTAAGTAGCACGCTAAATTCATCTTAACCAGCAGATCTCCGAACAATGGTGATTATGCTGAGGCCCGCACAACTAGAGAGGACGAGCCGTTAAAGTATCAAGTAAGTAAGTAAGTAATATTGAAAACTCTAGAAATATTTAAGAGAAAGGCAAAATGAAGGACCTGCATGGTGTGGTGCTGAACGCGATAGCCCCAGGAAAGGGTAATAGCGCGTCTGTTCTCCACCGCAGACACTTGTGGTCCGGAGTTTTGCAAATTTCTCAGCATCGTTTTGAATGAAAACTTCATTGGCGCACTAAAATAATAACTAGTATTTCATGTTGTTAAAAGTAAAAAGATACCATAGTGAAAACCCATGCACATATTTCCATGAGAATCTCTAGGAGGTTAGCTGCAAGACTACGGTACGAGCCATAAGTGAAATAGGGAGAGTGATGATATAAAACAAACTATAAATACATATATATATATATATATATATAATGGCTAAAAGGTCGAGCAAAAGCGACACTGTTTGGATGAGAGGCAGGTGGATTCGGACGATGGATTCCTTTTCTTTCTTGCATCAAAACAGCAGCTACCCATCGCATGTGCGTAGATATGTTCATTCACGGTCCATAGATGTGAATGTGTGAATGTGGATTGCATCCAACACGGCGATTAGCCCAGAAACCTGCCATCTGCTGACTGGGAAATACGAGATCGCGTCCAATAGACTTCACCTCTATTGCCGCAGAACCTGTCCGCTTATCCCTGAGAACCTCCAATCCCTTAGAGCAGAACGTGGTAACCTAGCCGTAGTGAATTTTTCGTTAGAAACAGGAGAAATGAAAAGTGTGGTGCACTTTGTGTCCTTCGAAAAGAAAGAGCGGAGATCATTGCGCGATTATGGCGTATGACAGAGAAATATAGGATTCGTTGGGGATCATTCGAGTCAGCCGATGATTGATGGGATTACAAACAAGTGAATAGAATTCTATAGTAAAAAGGTCAAATCTGCCGATCATCAGACCGAAAAAAATTGTTACCGCGCGAGTTTCAGTGGAAATATCATTTCGAAATCTGTAAGATCTACTGTGAAGGTTACAATGTGGAAATATCGGACTTTGCCGGACCACATAATCCAAATCACCAAATAGACAGTTCCCTTCTTAATACTTTATCTAGAAGTCCTCTCATTAGCTATGGGTATTCGAATGCAGTCGTGAAAGGCTATGTTTTCCTGACAGCTATGCTTACCTGACATTCAATTAAAGCAAAGACTGACTTGGTCTGAGAATGACGCCACATCTTTATCTGCTAAGAATAAGACAAAGCCAACCAAAAACTACAACTATATAAAAAGACATAAATTTTACAGAAGCAACCTTTACAAGGAAAAAACCAAAGATTCAACTTCACAGGATGCGTAGCTCGGTAATAGAATATCCTTCTCAATTTTAACTTTCACTGCATACTCTTTTCAACGGCAGGGCATGTCGTAAACCACAACTTCAACGATACTGAGATATTTGCAAAACTCCGGACCGCAGGTGTCCGCGGTGGGAAACGAACGCGCTATTATCCTAATTATCCTATACGGGTATCCATCGCAGACACCTGCGGTCCGGAGTTTTCCAAACATCGCAGCATCATTGAAGTTATCCTTCTCGGTTTAAACTTTCATCTCTGCGACGTAAGCTTAGTTACCTGCTCAGTTACGAACCACCGTTCAGACAAGGTTTTCAATGTAAAAAAATTTCGTAAATAAAAAACCCATGACGACGTCAAAGAACTTCAAGTTGGTTACGAGTAGGTGAAATCAAAACAGACGTTTGTAGTGCGACGTTTAGAGGTACCCCGCAATACATAACTGCTCTTTGGTTCGGTGCCGCCTCCAGGGTTCAATAAGTCTTTTTTTATCCCACTTGGTTCAGCACGTTAGCCTAAAAGTTGTCGGGGAATACAGCAACCCCAACTTGATACATCGGTGGACGGCCACAAGAGATTATAGAATCCAGATGTGCACTCAGACATGTCTAACGATGCTCAATGAAGTCAAATGTGTGATGCATACCTCTGGAACTGAGTAACGCGGAAAGCTTTATCCTTATCATCTATGTGACATTAATATCCTAAGCAAAAACCAAGAAAGACGCGTATGAATAAAATGAAAAACAAAAGAAAAGATAAAATCTATTAATCCTCAGTGCTTTTTACATATCCATTAAAAAAAAGTGAGTCCTAGTAGGCAACAACTTCGTAGAGAAAAGAGAAAGAAGAAAGGAGGAGAGAAAATATGGAATTTTTTAAGACAGTGATGAACTGGATGCTTTATCAATGATTTCTGGTGCTATTATTCTTTATTCACGAATAAGCTGACATTTCGGCGGATTTCGCCTTCCTCAGAGCCGCTATCTATGAGGTTTCCACTAAGCATACTTAGTGGAAACCTGTCTGGTAAGCATACTTAGTGGAAACCTCATAGAAAGAGGCTTTGAGGAAGACGAAATCCGCCGAAATGTCAGCTTATTTGTGAATAAAGAATAATAACACCTTGCGGTTGCTCAACAAAAATACGAAGAATTACTTGATCAATGCCGAGGTTAATAGAAAGTCGGTCGTGGGATTTCTGGTGCGTTACTGCTGCAGCAGATGAGCGAACGAGTTCTGTGATGTTTTCGTTAACTACAATAACACAAAGAGTGCTGAACTTGGGAACAATCGAGAAGCCCAGAGCTGGCAAAACATCATCATCACAACAATAGGCCTGACGAATCGCACAACATTTCAGCGTTCCGAGAACATTCGTGATACTTTTACACAAAAATACTCCACCAGATCTAAGCGTTAACTTGTCTAAAGAGGAAATTAGGTGGTTGAAATACGGAACTCACATACCAAAGTTAGACTTTGCGTTACTAAACTATATTTTATTCATTTTCCGACTTCACTTTCTATCTGTTTGGGAACGGCGCGTGTGGCGCAGTGGCCGGAGGCACCCTGCGACACACAGATGGGATCGCAGCACGCCAAGCCTTCCATTCCTTCGGGGTCGGCAGATTGGTACCAGACCTGTCTGGTAGGATAGCAGCACTGGTTCGACACATCGGAAAGCCACCGTGAGGCATTGTATAGGCCAAATATGCATCCTGTCACCTCTAACGATGCTTAATGAATTCGAATGCATGGAGCATCCCTCAAAGATTGATCAACGCCGACAGCCTTACCCTTCTTTATTTTTTAACTGTTTTCTTAAATTTTTAAACCCATTCTTATTCTATGATGATTAGTTATTATTGTAGTTGCTCTGTACGTTCTAAGAAACCAGCGCAGAAGAAATTTTATCGTCAAACACTTTTTAAAAGACATCACATTCCTAGCCAACAAAACCGCAAGCGTACTTAGTAGTTCAGAATGGTAAATTTGAACGCGAAAGTCTGGAATTTTAGTGAATCCCAAATATCGAGAACTACTTACCTATATATTTAAGTGACTGCATCTTAAGACTGTAGTGAGAATCGACTCGTCTAGCAACCAACGATGTTCACAGGGACAACGGGAAAATTCTCAAGCAGTAACTGACCCCACCGGCAAAAATACGGGAACACCTCTGTGGATGATGGATTCGAGGAAACGAATCGAATGCGATAAGCACTGGGATTCGCATAGCACGTGTGCAAGACGAGTCGAGTGAAAGGAATTACTTACTTCGTTGCTGCTCATATTTAAGACATTTTGAAGAAAACGAACTTTTATGCTTTTTAATCACAAAACAAACGCGAAGAAAAGGAGCTACTTCGTCAAAATTTCGCCAAAAAGAATGTTTAACCTACCTAATAATGAGGGATAGAGAGGACATTTTAAAAAAGAATAAAAAGAATTGAATAGAGTAGATAAGAATATGCTTTATCTAAAGAATTTGTTGTTCTGTTCAATACCTAAACAAGAAGTTCAGCGCTAAGGAGACGCGATGGACGCCTCGGCGGCGGAGGCATGGTTTTCGTGCTTTCCAATGAGATCAGATGGCGACCATTGCGCAAGTGGTGCGCGGAAATACGGGCGTGGTCAGGCGATGTCACCGACCGACGCGGTCATCGAGCACATGAATCGCTTCGCTGTACTGGCGATAGTTTCTTGTTTCGTGGACGAATCGTCGCCCGAACAAGGAATCGACGAAGAAACACAAGGCGCCGCCGACAGATGACTCTAGTTTGTCGATACGAGTTGTTTTCGTACTAAAAGGTGCGAGAGGCACACGACATCTTGCTGGTAGTCGCCAGATGGCTCGGCTTTGGGAAAATTTCATTATCGTAATCCATCGGATAAAATGTCGTAGTGAAATATTTTAAATTATAGTTTCATTTTGCATATACTCATATGAAAATTATAAGACGAACTTATTTGAAAAGGAGATGCAAAAAAAGAAGAGTGAAGAAATGAAGAAGAAAAGGCAGTGGCCAAGTTTCCAAAGGGAAAGCAACTTGTTAGAGTTGTAGAAGGGAATAGAAACTGCGCAAAAACCAATATTAAACACTATATTTAAGGCTTTAAAGCCCTAAAAAATTGAGAGCATCCTCCATTTTTTTTACTTTGAAAGCAAAAATCAGCTATTTCACGTTATATACATATATACATGTATATCTATAGCACCAGTTTTCATAAGAAGGTTAGGGCTCAAAGTGTGGAGTCCTTGCGAAGTAAGCAAAAAGACAGACTGATAGCCGTCAGTATCTTGAATTCGGATATATACCTATTAAAGGATATCTTTTAAAGTTATGCGGAAATACCGTAGCAGCTATCAAATCCATGGAATATTCAACATATGTGAATAAAAATTCTAGTTTTAAAAAAGTAGAAAGCTGTATTAAGAAGAAGGACAAAGATAATAATCTGCTGTTTTCATGTTTCGACTTGACCAATGAAAAGCGAGAGTCGTCTGAATGTGGCAACTGCAATCAGAAGATGATATGCGATGAGACGAAAGGGAGGAGAGGATGCGCTATTGGGAGGGAGGGAGAGCGGCCCAGGTCGGGCGAGATTCCCTCCAGCCGTACGTTGCTCACTGCCTCGTTGGGTGTAATTTTGGTTCTGCTCGTCGGTTTTTCTTCATGCTACGAGCCGTAGTTTCAATTTTAGGTATATTTTATACTTTATTTACATTTTTTATTTTACATTTTATATTTTTATTCATTAGTATAAAATTTTCTCGAATAGCCTATGAAATATTCGTGTATTACATCAAATCAACCTTGCCCTTCTTGTACAAATATTTTCCAATTACTGAAGTGAGGTCAGGAAAACCGGGAAGGATGACAAAAAATGAAGTGAAACAAAAAAAATACAAAAAAAGCACTTAGAGGGAAACGAATGCATCAAGGATTTTCTTCGCATGAAAACCATTAATACCGTAAACGAGGCTTATAAGGCATTAAAAGCCAAGACTTAAATCTAATAGTATGGAAAAAATAAAACACTGGAAAGAAAGGGAGAGAAAAGACGGAATTGAAGGCGTAGCTGTGAAAAAGCTGAGGCAATAATCCCAGCATCCGTGAAAATCCGGATGTACACAGACAATCAGCACATCAAATTGAATTCAACGACGAAAATCGTACTGAACTGAGCGCCGATGAAAACGACTGCGGCAAGGTCGCCGTCCGCCTCCCGACGGCGACGCGCGCGACGTTGCCACAATCGCGCGATCGATCGATGGCGCGTCATGAGCGATCTCGCGCGTAATCGCGCACGAGGGCCCCGCACGGCGATATCGAAAGCAACAACCGATGTGCTCGATCCAAAAACTCTTCCCATTCGTTGTTCAGTTTTCAACTTTACTCATTTTTTCTCCCGTACTTCCAATGGGTGTATCTAGTTGTTTTCTGTATTACCTGCATCACTTGTAGTCCTGTTGACCGTCAAGTGACTCGAGCGGGCGGGAGTAAATCTTCCATTTTTCCCTGTTGCGTGCAGGGTAGCCCAGTGGGTTTTGCTCGCTCCAGGGACTTATCGAGCACCATATCTTTCTTCTAGGCTCTTCGTGAAGAGTTCTGACCATCGGGTTGGTGGTCTTCCTGCAGTACATCTGACATTCCGCGGAATCCAGTCACTAACGGCTCCTCTCCATTGGTTGTCGTTCATATGCATTACGTGTCTGGTCCACCTTATCATCGACTGTTTGGCGTACAGAACCGCATCTTTGATTTTTGATCGTTGACGCAGGTCGGAGCTCCGGATTTCACCCCTTCCTTGTGTGAAACGGGATACTCCTAGAATCGTCTATTCGACCGCGCATTCGATAACGCTGAGTGATTTCTCATCTTGCTTACGCAGCCACCAGGCTTCTTACGCATACGTTAGGGCTGGAAGTACCGCTGAGTCAAAAAAGTGGGCACGGAGTCGGGTGTTCTTTGTTCTCTTCACTACATACTCGATACCTTAGAAGGCTCTCAAGGCAGCTCGTTTTCTTCTGCTCAGCTTTGGAGCTAAGTTGTTCATCATATTAATTTCCCGACCTAGATAGACATAACTGGAGCATTCGGAGATACTCGTTCCGTTGGGAGTGAATGGGGCATACGTAACCAATCCGTTCCTCATGAACATCGTTTTTGTGAGATTTAGTCGAACACCAATGTTTCCATAGGCTCTATCAAAGTTGGCAAGCATAAGTTTCGCTTGGCTAATGTTTAGTGTTATAAGGACGATGTCATCAGCAAAGTGAAGATGATGTAAATGCCGACCATCGATTTCGACTCCCATATTATCCTATTCCAGTGTTCGCATGACGTTCCGGATGGTGGTGGTGAATAATTTTGGCGAGGTGGAATCGCCTTGCCTAACTCTTCTTTTGACGTCAATGTTAATATCGTTGTAGAATGATAATATCTTGGTTGTGGAATTTTTGTACAGCTCACGGAGAATCTTTATGTACTGAGCAGGGACTCCTTGTATATAGAATTCCTCTATCGGACAGAGAATTCTTTATCGACCTAACAAAGACATTATATAAGTCGATTGAGACTGCATTTGAAACAACGCCCGCGTGCTTGCCCCACATCCGCATCCTATTCTTGCCATCGGATACGCCACTAGACACAGCATTTTGTAGCCATCAGTCACGCCACCAAACATGTTATTGGGCACGTCTCATTGCTTGGGGTCTAGACCCCGTGACCTGAGCCTTGACCCTATGACCAACACCACCCGCTTGGACGTAGCCACGCCTACTAGTACCGTCATTTGGCTTCTGACGACGCCTTGAAGATCGCCATTGCCACTCCATCATCAGTTACCTCCAACTTAATCTTCCTTTGTAAATTCATTTGCATAGGTTGTAGTGATATAAATTGTAATCCTTAGTTCCTGCATTGCTAATACATTAATGTTACTGTTGATTCTCATGTGATTACGTTGTGTTGTTAACATAAGTTAAATACCTTCATTGCTCACAGCTACTTCACAATCAGTTCTTCACTCTTGTTCGCTCCCACGAACGCCTTTCATATTCCTGCCCTGTGAACGGTTACATTGGTGCATCACTATTGTTAATGCATTTTATTAAGTGAAAAACCCACTAAATCACCTCACTTGTAATTTGTTGTACATACGTTGCAAATCTTACTGCATTGTTGTGTAAATAGTATGTATATACGTATAAAGGTTTAGTTTCCCAAGTTTGGGGTACTGTAAAGCAATTCTTCGCTCCCGCGAACGCCCCTCATATTCTGGTGCTGTGAGCCGTTACATTGGTGCATTGACCAAGTCGACTCGAACTCGAAGGAATAGGCACCAACCCATTCAAACTCATAGGAGCAAGAAACGCTCAACGAAACAAGCCGAACCTCAATACGGGAATACACCTTCAAGTACGTTACATTAACTCTCAAAAGAAAAACAGTGACAACTATCTTGCCCGCTCGTCAAGGACTATTAACAAAAGCAATTAACCGCTTTTTATCCACCTTAAATAGCTATCAAAACGAAGTAGACATGCCACTAAACTTTCCGTCCGAACAAACTAGCAGGATCGGGTACATTACTAGGCAGCAAAAGAAGAAGGAGCAAGCCAAATCGGCCATTGAATATGGTCCACACAGCGTCTAGACCGCACTGGATGCTTATGTCATAGTGGCAGACCAACTCCAGCAAAACCCCAATGCTCAAGCAAAAGAGGACCCGCAAAGCACTGCCAATGTGAACGTAGAAAAACAGTGGAGGATATCGACGAAGCGGAACACTGCCTCTCTAAGCTCGATTTAAGAAAAACGTTGGAAGGCACCGAGACTAACCCACTAAAGGACTCAAACGTCCATCCACTTGTGACGAATCTAGCACCCATCCCTGTTCCAAAGTTCAACAGGGACATAAAGGAGTGGGAATCATTTGGAAAGCATTTAATTATAAAGTGCATCCGCGCCGGATGGACGACTTCCAAAAAATGACCTATCTGCTGGACGCCCTTCAGGGAGAAGCAGGAGAATGCGTAAAACAGTATCAACTGTCGCAGAGTACTTATCTAGTAATACAGCATCTAGAAGAAAAGCACGACAATGAGCAAGCTGTCGTCCGTCATTTGTTACGTAGACTACGTATAACAGAAGCAGAGACGAAACGCCTCGAAGATTAGGAAAAACTGTGTGGAACCCTTTACTCGATAGTTGTTCAACTGCAACAAAAAGGGGAATTTATCGATTCTCTGGTCTTACAGCAACTACTATTAAAAAAATTCATGAAGGAGATTCAACAGTTTGTTCCGCAAAAAAGACAGAGAGCAGAAGATACAAAAACATTTGAACTGCTGAAGGCTGTCATAGACTACAAAAGGGAGGAATTCGAACTATGTGACCGAGAGCAAGAGAGGCCTACCTTAAAAGCGGAACACATAAATCACCAAGAAGAGGCACTCAAATGCAGATGATATGCATGCTTTTACTGCAACAAAGTATGACACCTACCAAACGATTGTGCTGAGATAAGAACTCAACAAGAAAGAGTACAAATTATTAAAATTCGTAATCTCTGCTACAATTGCGGTTTATCATTGCATAAGTTTCCCGACTGTAAACCAGGGCGTGCCGAAATTGCAATAGGCACGGACACCACACTTCTATTTGTAGGTATCAGCACCTACCAACCGAACACAAGTCGAAGAAAGAAGGAAATACTGAAAACGACCCAAACGACACCTAACGGTGTACAACGGTACAAAGG